AGCAAGAGGAGGAGGAAGAGGAGGAGGAGGAGGAATGGAAAAGGGAGAGAAGGGGGAGGAGGAGGAAGAGGATGTTGTTCCGTTTCGGTTTGTACCGACACGCTTAAGGAAGAGGTTGCACGACAGGAGAGAAAGCGACGGGCGCAGTGGAGGAGAAGGCTGTAGGGAAGGGACAGAAGCGACGCCGGGAGGGCGGCGTATCTGACCCAGGACCCCCCCCGCTACCCCCCCGGGACCCCCTCCCCTGGCGGGGAAGGGAAGAAAGGGAAGAGGCTTCCCTTTGACTCAGAGGCGACGTTGTTCCGTTTCGGTTTGTACCGACACGCTGAAGGAAAAGGTTGCACGACAGGAGAGAAAGCGACGGGCGCAGTGGAGGAGAAGGCTGTAGGGAAGGGACAGAAGCGACGCCGCGAGGGCGGCGTATCTGACCCAGGACCCCCCCCGCTACCCCCTCCGGGACCTCCCCCGGGACCCCCCCGCCCCCCCCTGGCGGGGAAGGGAAGAAAGGGAAGGGGCTTCCCTTTGACTCAGAGGCGACGTTGTTCCGTTTCGGTTTGTACCTACCGCCCTACCGTTACACGAAATATTTGGGGAAGCGAAAACTTGTTTGACAACACCCAGCAGAACTCGACAACAGCATCGCCACTTCCTGAAGAAAGTTCCACCTGCTGAAAGAAAAGCTCACCGACAGGTCCCATTATCTACGCGACCGGCTCCGGCTCTTCAGTGGCACGATCACTCCGACCAATTGTACGGAAGCGAAAGTTGGACGTTAACACAGGATTTGCAACAGAGGTTGAACAACATACAGGTTCAGATGCTCCGCGTGATCGTGCACGTACCGAGAAGACCGGCATCAACTCACCCCACCGCCGAACGCTGTCGACGATGCCCTGCTCGAGCCTTGGCAAGATTGGATCAAGCGTGCGACCCTCGACGCAACGCGACGGATGCAGCCATACAAGATGGACAACTGGGCCATGGACTACTGACAGGAAAAATTGGCATGGGCGCAGAGAGTAGCCAACACGGAGGCTTCAGAATGGCCGGCACAGGTGATAAGTTGGAAGCCGCACCTTGACCTGCTGTCGTCAACCCGGGACGACCAAAGATTCGTTGGGCAGACGATATCAAGCAGCATGTGCAGACAATTGGCCATGGAAGTTGGGTGCAGGTGGCAAAATCACCCGTGCGGGGTACCTTAAGAGAGGAGTACATCAACAACGGATACATCAACAAATGAGTGGGCTTAGGCCCCCCCTGGCAGTTCCCTCGCGGAGCCACTAGCCGGCTTCCGTCCCGCTCCGTTCCGAACAGGAAAATGGATGGAGGAAGAAAAGGCGGAAGAGGACGGGGAGGAGAAAGGAAGAGGAGGCCACGTGTCACCCGCCCACCCACCCACCCACCACTCACCACCTACCACCCATTACCACCCCAAACCGACATCGCCGCCGCCACAGCACTGGGGAAACCCGCGCATTCCTCACAGGGCCTCGTCGGTCGGCACTGGCCGCGGCGGCCTTCGACACAGCCTCGCGGGCGCGGTGGGCGACAGGGGCATCGTGGCCGAGGAGCCAACGCAGCCAGCGCAGCGAGCGGAGCCGGCCCGCGGCTCAGCGGCGGCCGCGACCCACGGGGGCGATCGAGACCCAGAGGGGAATGTGTGACAATTGTTGCGCGCAAAGACAGATCGCTTCGAAACGGCAATGCTCGTTCTGACTCTGAGTTGTTCGTTCATACACTACGCATCGCATGGTCACGTGAGTTTGTCGCGTGGATTGCCTCGTGAGTTGTCTCGTGGATTGTCCCCGCCGCTTTTGGCCACGCCACCCGGCGCACTCCTCGATGCATGGTCGCTCCCAGCGCCGAGGAAGCCAGCCGCGTCCGATCTCCTACCCCTCCATCCTTTCAGGCTTGCAAGGGCGGCCTGCCCGACCTTCGGCAGGTTGACCTCTTCGGTGACGACCCGCTCGCCTCGTTCCAAAGCGTAGGCAGGCGGCCAGAGGGGAGCCTCGGTGAGGGGCTCGTCACGACAGGGGTCGGTTAGACCTCGCCTGATCCTTACATCCCTCGGGCAGAGGGGGTGGGCCTTCTCAGAGGGTTCGGAAGGCTTCCAAGAAGGTCGGAGGGCTTCTCAGAAGCCCCGCCGCCTTCCGAGAAGGCCCGCCCCTTCTCACTTGCGCGCCGCCGAACCTCCCATGGCCATTCCCGCGCCGCCCTGCTGGGCGAGCCGAGGCACGCGATGCGACGGAGGAGGCGGGGCGGCCTCCACAGCCCGAGCAGGGGCGCCCAGAGGCTGGCGCGGCGGCTGCTGCGTTGGCGTCGAAGGGAGGGTGGCGGCGACGTGCGCGGCGGCGGCGGCGGCGACGAGCGGCGAGCGCGGCGGCGGCGAGGGCGTATGGGGACGGGGGAGGGGGGGAGGAGAGGAAAGGCCGGGTCACGCCGGCGTGAGGAGGGCCGCCGCGCGGCCGCCTTCCCGACGCTTGACGGCTGCCTCGAGGAGCGCACCGCGGGGAAGTGCGGTGTTGGGTCGAGGGGGGGTGAATTGTACTTCGCCGCTACGAAAGTTCGGCCTAAATGCAGCGCCTCCCGTTAGGCGATGGGGCCCCAGCACATTGTTGTCAGCGGCGTTGCGCCCGCGACAAGAGAGGAAGTGTCAAAGGGACCCGTTAGGCCGCGTGGCCCCAATACAATGTTCTGTTCAGGCATTGTTTTGCTCATGTCTCGGGCGGAACCGTCCTTTCGAATTCGGACCCGATGGTTTTGAGGTCCAGTCGAGATCGCTTTTCCCAACCATCCTGTGGTGTTGGGTCCTCGTTTTCCGCGTCCCACTTGCCTCCTCCCCCTCCTCCCTCCTCCCATCCCTTGCTTCTGTCCTCATCGTCGTCATCGTCGTCGTCATCATCATCATCCTCCTCCATTCCATTTCCTGGTAAATAATTTCTCCCTGTCGCACCCACCCCGAGGCCAGTTTTTTGGGCGGGCCGGGTGTTTCGCCTGAGACGTCCTCTCCACTCACGACCCTGAAGCATAAGAATTTGCAACAGCTTCACAAATGAAGGGCGGGTCGTTTTCAAACTGTGGCTTTCGCCCTAGCGCCGCGCGCATTTTACCTAACATCGAAGACTGATAGGTTTCTAATGGGCTAAAAAGAGAGCAGCACATTACTCCACAGGGGGGTCTGGGCAGCCGTTGGGGGCCGTTGGGGGGCCGTTGGGGTTTGCCGGGGGGGGATCGTTTTTCGCATACAGTCACACACTTCGTGCTTTTCGATTTCCCAGAACTCCATTCCCGGGCCACATTCTGAATGCCCGGAGCCTGCTGTACGCCACTTCGTGCTCTTCGACTTCCCAGAACTCCATTCCCGGGCCACATTTTGGATGCCCGGAGCCAACTGTAGGCCACTTCGTGCTCTTCGACTTCCCAGAACTCCATTCCCGGGCCACATTTTGGATGCCCGGAGCCAACTGTAGGCCACTTCGTGCTCTTCGAGTTCCCAGAACTCCATTCCCGGGCCACATTTTGGATGCCCGGAGCCAACTGTAGGCCACTTCGTGCTCTTCGATTTCCCAGAACTCCATTCCCGGGCCACATTTTGGATGCCCGGAGCCAACTGTAGGCCACTTCGTGATCTTCGAGTTCCCAGAACTCCATTCCTGGGCATGATTTTGAATGCCCGGAGCCAACTGTAGGCCACTTCGTGTTCTTCGAGTTCCCAGAACTCCATTCCCGGGCCACATTTTGAATGCTGAGGCAGGCTGAGGCTGAGGCTGAGGCAGGCTGAGGCTGAGGCAGGCTGAGGCTGAGGCCGAGGCTGAAGGCAGACTGAGGCTGAGGCTGAAGCAGGCTGAGGCTGAGGCTGAGGCAGGCTGAGGCTGAGGCTGAGGCAGGCTGAGGCTGAGGCAGGCTGAGGCTGAGGCTGAGGCTGATGCAGGCTGAGGCTGAGGCAGGCTGAGGCTGAGGCCGAGGGCTCAAGGCAGACTGAGGCTTTGGCTGATGCAGGCTGAGGCTGAGGCTGAGGCGAGTTCCCAGAATTCCTGAGGCTGAGGCAGGCTGAGGCTGAGGCTGAGGCAGGCTGAGGCTGAGGCAGGCTGAGGCTGAGGCCGAGGCTGAAGGCAGACTGAGGCTGAGGCTGAAGCAGGCTGAGGCTGAGGCTGAGGCAGGCTGAGGCTGAGGCTGAGGCAGGCTGATGCTGAGGCAGGCTGAGGCTGAGGCTGAGGCTGATGCAGGCTGAGGCTGAGGCAGGCTGAGGCTGAGGCCGAGGCTGAAGGCAGACTGAGGCTGAGGCTGAAGCAGGCTGAGGCTGAGGCTGAGGCAGGCTGAGGCTGAGGCTGAGGCAGGCTGAGGCTGAGGCAGGCTGAGGCTGAGGCTGAGGCTGATGCAGGCTGAGGCTGAGGCAGGCTGAGGCTGAGGCCGAGGCTGAAGGCAGACTGAGGCTGAGGCTGAAGCAGGCTGAGGCTGAGGCTGAGGCAGGCTGAGGCTGAGGCTGAGGCAGGCTGATGCTGAGGCAGGCTGAGGCTGAGGCTGAGGCTGATGCAGGCTGAGGCTGAGGCAGGCTGAGGCTGAGGCTGACTGAGGCTGAGGCTGAGGCTGAGGCTGCAGAGGCTGAGGCTGAGGCTGCAGGCTGAGGCTGAGGCTGAGGCTGAGGCTGAGGCTGAGGCTGAGGCTGAGGCTGAGGCTGATGCAGGCTGAGGCTGAGGCAGGCTGAGGCTGAGGCGAGGCTGAAGGCAGACTGAGGCTGAGGCTGAAGCAGGCTGAGGCTGAGGCTGAGGCAGGCTGAGGCTGAGGCTGCAGGCTGAGGCCGAGGCCGAGGCTGCAGGCAGACTGAGGCTGAGGCTGAAGGCAGGCTGAGGCTGAAGCAGGCTGAGGCTGAGGCTGAGGCTGAGGCTGAGGCTGAGGCTGAGGCAGGCTGATGCTGAGGCAGGCTGAGGCTGAGGCTGAGGCTGATGCAGGCTGAGGCTGAGGCAGGCTGAGGCTGAGGCCGAGGCTGAAGGCAGACTGAGGCTGAGGCTGAAGCAGGCTGAGGCTGAGGCTGAGGCAGGCTGAGGCTGAGGCTGAGGCAGGCTGATGCTGAGGCAGGCTGAGGCTGAGGCTGAGGCTGATGCAGGCTGAGGCTGAGGCAGGCTGAGGCTGAGGCCGAGGCTGAGGCAGACTGAGGCTGAGGCTGAAGCAGGCTGAGGCTGAGGCTGAGGCAGGCTGAGGCTGAGGCTGAGGCAGGCTGATGCTGAGGCAGGCTGAGGCTGAGGCTGAGGCTGATGGCTGAGGCTGAGGCAGGCTGAGGCTGAGGCCGAGGCTGAAGGCAGACTGAGGCTGAGGCTGAAGCAGGCTGAGGCTGAGGCTGAGGCAGGCTGAGGCTGAGGCAGGCTGAGGCTGAGGCAGGCTGAGGCTGAGGCTGTGACTGCGACTGCCGTTGCCACTGCGACTGTCATCGCGAATGCGACTACGACTGCGAGAACAGCAGAATTCTACAACTGGATTCTCATCCGAATCTTAAGGGGAATGCTTCCAGATGTGCTCCTACACATCGATGTTAGGTTGCTTTGCCGGGATAATTTTTTTCTCCAAATTCTAGACGCTTCGCGTATCCCCACCAGCCCGTCCAGAAATGAGTCCCAGGGGAGTGCAGGTTATGAGGGAAGCGGGGGAGCATGCAGAAAAACAAAAGGCGGGGTGAGCCGCCATATGCCCCAAGAGGGGGAGGATGTAGGAGGAGCCGTCGTCGTCGGAGTAGGAGGAGGAAGAGGAGGAGCAGGAGGAGGAGCAGGAGCAGGAGGGGGAGGAGGAGGAGGAGGAGGAGGAGGAGGAGGAAGATGAGGAGGAGATGGAGGACTGCGAGGACGAGGAGGACGAGAAGGAGGAAAAGGAGAAGGAGGAGGAGGAGGAAGATGAGGAGGAGGAGGAGGAGGAGGAGGAGGAGGAGGGGGAGGGGGAGGAGGGAGGAGGAAGAAAAAGAGGAGGAGGAGGAGGACAATGGCGAGCTTGGCGGTCTTTGCCGTCTTTGGGGCGTCGTGCCGTCTTTGGGGCCTCTTGGCGGTCCCGGGGGCCTCTTGCGTATACCGGGGAGCCTCTTGTGGCCTCTTGGGGGTCTCTTGGGGGCCTCTTGGAGGCCTCTTGGGGGCCTCTTGGGGCCTCTTGGGGCCCTCTTGGGGCGCTCTTGGGGCGCTCTTGGGGCCATCTTGGAGGAGATCTATCAAAGAAGGGGGGGGTCGTATATTAGCGCTGCCCCTCTAGAGTGCCTCGAAGACGACGAAGCGTGTGAGGGGTGTGCCGGAAAAAAAGGAGAGTCGCCCAGATGCGGGTTGCGCCATGGGGCCTTCGGTGGAGCTCAGTCTGGTGCCAGGAGCTGCGCGAGGGGCGTGCCGAAGCGGGGGTGGCGCCCACGTGCGAATTCCGGGCTTTAGCTGGAGCTCCCCACGGGGCATGCATCGCAAGAAAAATCTGGCACCTGAAATTTCGCAATATTCATGCCTTTTCGGTTATGCCACCACGGCCCCCCGCTGCCGACGCGTGAGGCGGTGGCTCCCAGTTCGTGGATTCCGCGAACGCGCCGAAACATTGACTAGGCTGCAACGACGAACGCGTCTTATATTCGAAAGCTGAATGGTGAAAACCAATTGGTTCACTGCATTCTGGGGGAACAACATTGCGTTTTGTGATTCCACGACGAACGCGGCGATAGTTCTCGCAGGTTCCGCGGAGACCGCGACGGAGACTGTGGATTGTCACGAACGCGTCCCAGCTCCGAAAGTTGAACGGTTTGTTTCATTCGTATGTGAACAACAGTGGCGTTTTGCGATTTCACGAACGACGCGGAAGCTTCCGTGGAATACGCGAACGCCAAGCAAAATGCCGTTGATTGTTGCAAACGCGCCGTAGTTCCGAGAACTTGAGTTTCTGGCGGGCAATATGAGTTTTTCTTGATTCCACGAATCTACAAAAGAACAGCAACATCCACGACATTCGTGGGTTTCGTTGATTTCATTGATTTTGTTGATTTCGTAGGCAACGCGCACGGCAAAGGAAAAGTGCTAGTTCCGAAAATTGAATGGTGAAAAACATCTGTATTTGTTTCATGTTGCTTCTGTGAACAAGATGAGTACTTTGGGATTCCACCAGATCCACGCAATCAAACACTTCAGACATGTTCGCCGATGTCAGTTGATTTTGGGCTGCCACAAACCCGTTTTAGCGTCGAAGGTTGAATTGTGTAAGCGATTTGTCAAATTTGGATCTTGCTGGGTAATCTAGGCGCTTTGCGATTCTACGAAAATCAACGAAATTCACGAGATCCACGAAGCCAGCGATCTCCATTACTGTCGCGGATGTTGTAGGTTTCGTCGGTTTCCGTGGATTTCGTGGATGGCCAGGAACGCATTTAATATTCGACAGTTAATAGTGACAACCAAGTGTTTCTTTTGGGTTTTGGGAGGTAATATGGGCGTAATCCACGAGATCCACGGACACCTTTTGCAATGCCAAGGAATCAGCGAATTCACGAAA